TTGTATTTTTTCACCAGTTCTTTTTTTTGGTGGCACTGAGGGTTGAACTCAAGGCCTCTTGCTTGCTAAGCAGGTGCTCTACGACTCGAGCCATGCCTCCAGCCCTTTTTGCTTTGGTTATTTTTGAGATAGGATCTTGCTTTATACTTGGACAGCCTGGAACTGGGAGCCTCCTCTTTGGGCTTCCCCAGGAAGCTGGGATGACTCAGTCATTGGTTGAGATTGGGGGTCTCACGAACTTTTTGCCCCAGCTGGCTTCGAACCATGATCCTCCTGGTCTCCAATTAAATTCCCTAGTATTATAAGCATGAGCCACCATGCCTGGCCTCTCCCCATCTTTTTGTTGTTGTTGTCATCAGTTTGAACTCAGGGCTTTGAACTTGCAAAGCAGGTGCTCTACTGCTTGAGCCACATCTCCAGCCTCTTTACACATCTCATTCTCTATGTAGTTGTACCTTATGACTGAAAAGTGGAAGTCTCATGGGTCACCATTGCTCTGTACCAAGAGGACATGGGGAAGGAGGACTTGGGTGTGTGAGTAAGTAGGAGTCAGGTGGAATGTGGACACTTAAGAATGTGGCTTTGTCTTTGGATGGGATATGTCTGAGCTGGTGAAGAGAGATGAGGAAAGCACTCACTTACAGCTATCTCAATGAAACGTCATTTCTTGGGAGACCTTAGACAGTAAGTAATCTCAACATAAAGCTTGCAATATTTCTTTTGTGACCCTGATTAGAAATTTGCGATCAACATTATTTAGGAGAGTTTCCATAAAAATCTGATTGCTTGCTAGTCGCATAAAACCTAAGGATTTGTCCTCATTGCAAGTGGCAGCAAATCCCCTAGTGCAAGTGGTACAGCACGCCACACCCTTCAGAGTCCAACACACACGTACCCGATTGGCGTCAGTCATTTATTGTTATTGTTACCATTTATGGGTCCTTATAAATCCATAGTGCAGGTGAACAAACTGAGGTAATAATGATATTAAATATGGATTATTCTGTACTAAGGTCATATTTTATTCACAATGTGCTCTACACAAGATCATTCTTTTCCTTTATTTTTTTGAGGCAGCGTCTCACTAAAAGACCATTCTTAATTCAAAACAAATTTTTACGGAAGTTACCTAGTGTTCCTGCTTCGTGGCTCAAGCGGTATACTTGTTAGTAGATGAAAATACCAGTGCAAAGGCCATTCAACCAAATAGCTTTGAAGTAATGCTGTAAGAACGTCTTTATTTTTCTCCTCAGTAGCTTGTCCCTGTGTTGCCTAGGATGGTCTCAAATTTGTGATCCTCCCACTTCAGCCTCCTGAGTAGCTGGGGTGACAGGCATGTACCACCATACCTAGCTTTTTGACAAAATTTAGACAATAGATTTTAATTTATTGCAAATTTTGTAAAGCGAGATGATAAACATTTTAATTTGCTGAGTTGAATTTGCATAGTTGGATTCCCTCCTCTCCCCTCCCCTCCCCTCCCCTCCCCTCCCTCTCCCTTCCCTTCCCTTGAACCCAGGGCTTCATGCATGCTTGGTAAGCGCTGTACCTCCCTAGTCACCGGGAGTGGCTCATGGTTGCTGACTAGACAGTGGAGGTTGTTGATGCCAGTCTTAAAAAATGGTTTGTACGTGCAGCGACGCTGTGGTTGAGTTGTGTTTAGGGACTGGGATGGAAATCCTAGACTTTTATTCTTCAACTTTACCTTGGACTGGATGAGATAGTTTGTTTAGATGAAGTCAGCTCACCAGCAACTCTAACAGTACCACTTGTTTTCTTTCTGCTCGTGGCATTGGGAAACACATTTTATGCTTGGCTTGGCTGCTCTGGCTGTATATGTCCGTGTACATCTTCAAAGAAGCCATATCCGTTTCCTGCTGAATGTGGCCACCGAGGTGTCTACAGCACATCTCTGGGCTAGAGCCAGCCCGGGAACACCTGGTTTATTCCTCTCATTTCCTGAGCTGTGGAGAGGCCTCTGGAGATGGTGGGGCCCACTGAGGTCCAGTGCAGGGAATGGTGGTGCCTAAGGGGGTGCATGGATTCATCCGTATGTGCTGTTGTAGGTGACACTTATGTGTTATTAAACTTCTGTAAATTCCAAATATTAGTCCAGTCAGGAAGTTTTACCAAATAAAAAGCCTGTAATAAATAAGACCTCCTCCTGATAAGTGTCAACGTTATTGCTCGGCATGTTTATTACATGATCATTAAAGTACTCCGGCTCTCTGCTTATAACAATAACACGTGGTGGCATTTTCCTCCACTGTACACTCCAGATCCCTTCCCAGGCTTGATGAGGTGTAGATAGCAACTCCAGTTGACCTGATCAGTTTCCGGAGTTTGTTACTGCCCCGTGCACAAATTGGCATCGAAGTGATGGCTACTTACTAAGTGAGGTCTGTGTCTCAGGGCATCCTTAGCCTCATGGTTTTAGGCGCTATCTCAAAGACCAGCAAATATTTGGGAATGTGCCCAAGTCAAGACCCATCTCCTGTGGCACTCATCCAGAAAACTCACTGACACAATTGGCCAGTGTACATTCAACAGGCCCACCAAGGCTCGCAATGACTTCCTCCCATTGTTTCAAACTTGGTGCACATGGCTTCTGGAACCACAAGAGAGGATGAATCAGAAAAAATGGTCAGAAAAATGTTCTCTTCCTCTCCCTTAAGCAGTCAGGTACTCTGTATTTAGGGGTTTTATCTTCACAGTTAGTCATTTGGAATCTTGCTAACTCTTTCTCTATGAGTGTGTTTTATACCTGCAGCAACAAGTAGGAGATGTACTTCTGTGAACTGTCTTCTATTTTTCAATATGTTAATATAAGCTGAGTTCTGAGGTGGATAAGCACTTCATAATGCCCTGAAGAACTCTGTTGCCTTTCCTGGGTTTGAGGCTTAGATCAAGTCTTAGCTCTTCTTGGATTTTGGAGGCCGGGTGACTCAAGCCCCTTTGTTATAGGAAAGAAGGAGCTTAGGCTCACATGATTAGTTACAAAATGAACTAGATGGCAGGCATTCACACTACGGAGTTTTTCCTTGGAGTAGAGTTGTTTAGGAATATAAGGTTATAGTACTTTGGGGTGTTTTTTCTATTCAGACATACATATTGGGGGGAGGCTGAGACAGTAGGGAGTCCAGCCAGTAATTGTTTGTGGCCTAAGTGACTTTCATTATTGACTCACTGGTGGTTCTTGTAATCCTAATAGCTGCTTCCAGGGATGGATAATGCCCTACTCATTGTTTTTGTCTGTTCCCGGTCACCTTTCTCCAAGCCATCCTTTGCTTAGTGGACCACTATTTAAGTCTTTATTACAATCACATCAAAATTCCACTTTGAGGAAGATTGTTCAAGCTCACAGTCTAACTTTGGCTCTAAGAATGCCATTGCACTGACGTTTTCAAGATTCAAAGGCACGGTATGGGGATTGCCAGCTGTATGAGGATATAAAGTATGAGCTATATGGTGGTTGAAGATTTAAGATCATTGTAAAGCCAGATCACCATTAGGCCTTACATGTTAGTGTGCCAAGTGTGTGACGCCTTAGCTGTGTTTTCTGGCTACTGTTGGGAGTGGCCTTACAATCATATTGAAGAAGATTCGTTGGACCATTAGTGCAGGGCTACCTAACTGGTTGTTCTTTCCTTGAAGCAACCTGCCATTGATCAGGGAATATTACAGCCCTAATTCCCCATATGTGTGTTTGAAGGTGTGTGTATGAAATGGCAGACAGAACTATCGATGTAGGTAGAATGTGAACTTAACTCTTTAGACAAAGAGCCATTTAGTAGTTCATTGATTTATTTATCACATTTTCAGTCCACCTATGTATCATAGGTGCTAAGATCACATCAGTGAGCAGAATAGGAAAAACTTTCCCTGCCCTCACTTTACATTAACAGCTCTGAAACTTCCCTGAGCATACCGCAGAGACCTGAGTATTTTAAAAATATTTAAAAACATGCCAGTGTCCTAAAAGAGAAGGCTTTTTGTACTTTGTTGGTTTTTTTTTTTCACTTTCTGTTATAAGTTTTCCATGGAATAATGAGAAGTTTGTTAGCTTGAAATAGTAATTTCCAGTAGGATTTTTGAAATGGCTTTCTGCTTTATTCTCCCACCTGCTTGATATGGGTAGCACTTAGACAAAGGAAGAGAAGAACTTCAGATTATCACCTGGTTTGCTAAATATCAGGTAGGAAGCCGACAAGCATTAAGAAACACACTTAAGAAATATGTTAAGATATGTGTGTGGCCTTTTCCTGTCCGTGCTGTGTGTGCTAACAAGTTAGAGCACAGCTTCCTAGTGACCCTTCTCTCTTCCTTCTAAGCTTCTCTTGATGAGTAAGGCAGACCTTTTCTTCCTTGTGACTGGATGTGTCTCTTTGTAAATAACACAGCATGACTCCACAATTGGGAGAAATTGTTCTGTCTAAACAGCACTGTCCCTAAGCCTCACACTTACTGATTCTTGAGTTTTTTGTTGGTGGTGGTTTGTTTCTTTTTGAGACAGAATCTCACTGTGTAGCCCAGGCTGGTCTCAAACTTGCCATGCCCCTACCTCAGCCTCCTAGAGTGCTGGGATTACAGGTGTGTACCACCATGCCTGTCTTTCACACCTAGTGATTTTGCGAAATCAAAATCTAGATGGGAACCTAGAGCCTGTCTTTTCAAACAGCAGTATTAAGGAAATGTTGATGTAGAGGGGTTATCTTAAGAAAAACTATCTAAAATGCTCTAGAATATTGTTGAACAACCTTCCCAAGGGCTGAGCCACGTGGCATGACCTGCCCGTTAAGCTTTCGTGCTAAAGATTAATTTATGTTAATTTTACGTTATGTTAACAATCCAAATTTATGTATTGTGCATGTAATTAAGAAGCCAGCAACTACCTGTAAATGTCACATGGCGGCCAAGGAGACTGTTACTTGCCTATTCACCAGTACGAGGAGACGATTGTCTCAACTTTGTTAACCAGCTTTCTTGGGATTTCTTTGCAGGCAATGGTGGCTTGCTATCCAGGAAATGGAACAGGTTATGTTCGCCATGTGGACAACCCCAATGGTGATGGCCGTTGCCTCACCTGCATCTATTACCTGAACAAGAATTGGGATGCCAAGGTACTGTGGAGTAATGGGAGGACAGACAAGTGGGCTGACAGGTCAAATAAAGAGCGTGTCACTTCCAACTAGGGAAAGAATTCGGGTAACTTTGGGGAGAGTTTGAGTTCCCAATAGTCCTGTCTCCCCCAGATGAATTTATATTTTCTCTTTCCCTCACCTATAGAGTTGTACCAAAGTTGATGAGATGAAAACAGTGGCTATGAAGTTAGTTTGGTGAGGGGCTTAGGTGGATAATTATTAAGGTATGAAGGGGATGGTTGAAGAGGCAAGATAATTTAATATTAGGATTAGGAACCAAGACTTTAGTCTTAATTCAGAGCTACTGTGACTCTCAATGCATTTCCCTTCCAGCAGCAACACTGAAAAAATTCTGCAAAAATAGAACTGTAGGATATAAAGCCATCCCCCAGAGAGCTTTCCCACACAGTCCTCTTTGTCAGGACAATACGTCTGTCCCATCGGTGGCCTCTTGCCATGGCTTTCTGTGGTTTGTGAATGCAGAGCCTTGTGGCTTATTTTCTTATTTTAGATGTATAGATAGATAAAAATGTGAAGACTGGTTCTGTACTTAGGAACATTTGTCTGGACTTTGTACATGCTCTGAAAATTAAGAATGATTTAGGAGCTAGGAAGTCAGAGAACTTTACAAGCTTATTTGGCTTTTGAACCTTCTGCATCACCATTTCCTGTTCATTAGGGCAGACTCTGGCTATCATAAAGCAGTATTTTATCAGGGTCAGAAAAATAAAATCTGAGAAACTAGTGAATCAGTAAAAAGGCTTATCTCTTACCCTCTTTACCCTGCTTGGCAACATGACTGGAATACCTCCATTGGGTGTCTTTTAAAATCTTTAGGGATGCTAAGATGGGTAGTTATTGGGTGAATAATAAATAGTAAATTACCAAGAATGAAAATCAACAACTATTTGAGTTCCTGCTAGTGCCAGGCATTGTGCTGTGGGCTAACATCGATGTGTGAGGCCTGATTTCCACTTGGAATGTTATTCTGGTAGGACAGACTCTGTATACATGTTAAAAGAGGAAAAAGGTGTGAGAGAGAGTGATATATGTCATAAAAGGCTCAGATGAGGTAGTCTGAGAGTTCAGGAAAGAGAACATGTAATGTTCAATTAATGAAGTCAGATAAGAGCAAGAAGAGTTCAGAAGAAAACAATAAATTAATTGTAATTGAAGAGGGGATTATATGGAGTATTTTAGGAAGCTGTTAATATTAGCTGGAACTTGAAATTGTTAGGGTTTGGGGATTTTTGTTTGGTTTTGGTTTGGGGTTTTTTGGGGACTTTTCTTTTAAAAAGTCAAAACAGATATTGGCAATTTTGTATGATGCAGTCTAATTGTGCTCTATTTTGTGTGCTTGCTTCATCATTGTAGTGGTAAAAAGGCTTGTTTGGTATGAAGTGAATAAGGAGTTACCTCTAGTTAAGCTTGAAATAAAATTTAGTACAAAGTATAAGGCTGAAGGAAAGATTTGAAGGTAAAACACACTTGGGGTAGAGTTAGAAGGTAACATTGTTTCCAGATAGGTCTAAAGTATCCTTGTTGATAAACTAGATTGTAAAGCCAGGAAATAATCCATCTTCTCTTTGGTCCTCAGTTACATGGCGGTATCCTGCGGATATTTCCAGAAGGGAAGTCATTCATAGCAGATGTGGAGCCCATTTTTGACAGACTCCTGTTCTTCTGGTCAGACCGTAGGAACCCACATGAAGTCCAGCCTTCCTATGCGACCAGGTAATAGCCAAGGCTCCTCTGTAGGAGCTTGTAATACGAAGGCCAATTCCTAGAGAACTCTCTAAACTCATGTTCATATGGCGGCTGTTCACACCCCAAAGCTGATGGGCAAACCTGCTCGGAGTGATAAAAATTAAAGGGGAAACTTTGGTTTCTTTAGTATACAGCTCTAACTCAGTTTAAAAAATAAATTATTTTCTATTAGGTGAGCATATTGGATTCTAAATTTCTCAGTGGTTTTCTCTTTTCTACTTTCTTTCCTTCCCTTTTTAAAACCCTCCCTTTAACAACATTTAATGTAGAGAATGTTAGCTCTCACATATTAGGAAATCTGTCTGGTTATTTATTTAGATGAGTTTACCAGGTGACAGCTACAAACAAAGAAGTAATGTTGAGAAAAGAGAGTAATTTGTTCTCTCTTTTCCTTTTTTACCCTTTCCTTAGCTTAAAATTGCCCTGGGCTAGCTGTAGCCATGTCTCAAGAATTGGGAGTTTTTACATTTTTTTTTTTTAAGCACCTGGATGTGAAGATTTTCTAAATCACTGAGCAGCTTGGTATTGTTTAATATTTATCTAGGAGTTCTTTATAAGAGTCTTAATTCCTGTTTCTGCCTCTCACTTACCTTTGTCTTGTGGCCAAAGCTGTAAACCAGGCAGGAGTGGAGTGATGTGGAGCAAGCTTATCTAGAAAGAGCAGTTGAGGGGCAGAGCCTTGGGACTAAACCTTAACAAGACTAATTCCATTAAAGTTACATGTGTCCCACTGATTTGAGCCCCAAATGGAGTTTCATATTCAGTGCCAAATTGTAATATGCTCTTGGCGAGCAGGTCACCAATTCTACCACTGAAGCCTGTTTGTGGCTTGTATTACATGGTTCAATATTGGACTCTGCCTTTTGTGACTGAGCTCTCTGTTTATGTCCCAGTCTCACCATGACCAACTTCACTGGGTACACATTAGCAAGGGCTGGTTCAAAGCCTATGGAGGAACAAATCAAGTGCTGTAGAAATTGCTGGGGCTAGTAATTATAAAAAGAAACTTAAAAAAAAAAATCAAGCATGAAATGACTCCTATTACAGTCCATCCCATGAATGGGATAAAGCAAATAATTGGAACTGGAATGCCAGAGAGCATCATTACTCACTTGTATCTTTGCCTCATACGTTCAAAACTAAAGAAGCAAGCCATGAGTTTTAAGTGTTCTGTGATTTAAATGTTAGTCTTCAAAGGCTCTCTCAAGTGTCATCTCCTTTCTCTGTTCTCGCACCATCAACTTGAGTATCTCGGTCTTTAGCTGCATGACTTCCTTCGTTCCTTTCTGTCTAGGTCACATTTCCTTGTTGCGTTGTCTGTTGAATCAGTTGTTCTCTGTGAGAGCCTAAAATCCTTGAGGAAGAGGAAGAGCCTCTCGATAGGATGGTTTGAGTTCTCGGGGCTCAGGATCACGCCTGGAACCTAACTGGAATTCTTTCTGTGTCGTATTGCATCGACACAGAGTTGAAGCTAGAGAGATTAATTTTAAATTAAATAATAGGTAAAACTTTCATTTGGTGGTTTTACAAATGACTTTAATGTGAGATTCATAGTAAGTTGGATTATTTTCATAGAAGTCTTTTCTATCTGCTTTTCTTTCTTTCACAGATACGCTATGACTGTTTGGTACTTTGATGCTGAAGAAAGGGCAGAAGCCAAAAAGAAATTCAGGAATTTAACTAGTATGTATTTAATCATTTTCCATGCCTTTGATCAAGTCAATTTATGACTTTAATTTTGTATATTTTGTAATTCACTCTGCTTAATCTGAGTTGCATCTTAGCTTCATACATAATGACATTTTGACGGGTTCAGTCCTGAAACCTTGGCCTTCATGCTTTCAGAAAAATCAGAACAAATGGAAAGGGCGTTCCCTGAGGATGCCTACTGATTGTGCAATGGTTTACAATAAATGGCAATAACTAACTTTTGTCATTAATGTTAACCAGTCACATGTAATATTAAATTTTGTCCAGATTTTGGCACATGGCAAAGAAAATATAATGGAACCCAGCTACAATGGCTAATTTATTATATCGGTGTGGGGCTGTGACTTTCAATTTAAAAGCAGGTTTCATGTGCTATAAATTGAGTATTACTTAACATCAATCCTGTCACCTTTAACCAGTATTGTAAGGCAACATTTCCCAAAATATGTTGCACTAAATTGGGCATGATGGTGCACTCAGGAGGCAGAGGCAGGAGGATGGTGAATTTGAGGCCAGTCTGGGCTACATAGTAAGACTCTCAAAGCAAAACTAAAATGTCGCACTAAAACATAAATCCTGCCAAATTGGTTTATGAAAAGGTAAATTTCTGGCCTCCCAAATGTGGGAAATGCTGCATACTGTATCCCCATCTTGAAGAATGACAGTGCTCATTAGCATATTAAACTAAGACTCTAAGAAGTCTTGTAGCAATGGCTGGAGGTGTAGCTCTGTGGTAGAGCACTTGCCTAGCATGCAAAGGTTCCCAGGTTTAATCCCCAACGCTGGGAAGAAAAAGTCTTGCAGTAAAGAAACGTATATAACACTGCCTAGCCCATGAACCAACTATTTACCTGTCAAACACTGAAGATAAAACCTTTTTGCAAAGTTCTATCAGAGAATGGGGGCATGGCTCAAGTGGTAGAGCTCCTGCCTAGCAAGTGAAAAGCCCTGAGTTCAAGCCCCAATACTGCCAAAGTAAATAAATAAATAAGTGGATAAATAAAAAGCTTGACCAGGAGGTTTAGTTTGCTTTATAAAATGAGAAGCACTTCCTGTTATCTTTTTTGGGTGATGTTTGTGGCATAAAACTCATTAAATTTCACTCCCTATCTTATTTTGTTTTCTGCCTCCAACTAGGGAAAACTGAATCTGCCCTTGCTGAAGACTGACTATGTCTGAAATCCGCTGGCCTGGTTCATTTTAATAACGGTCCTGAACTCTTTATGAGTTGAGATCCAAAGACGGCTTCTTCCATGAGCATAAATTCCCCGCTCCACTGCTTGCGTCATCCACATCCCTGTCTTGTGTGTGGTACTTCACATTTTCTTGCCAGGACTGCATCAACCTTCAGACACTCTCTTCACCAGATGAACTTGATTGCTGACTCCAGAAATACCCGCAGATAATGTTGTTGGCCAGCGGTTTAACTGAGAAATTTGGGAATATTGACTATCAAAACAATAACCTGGGAGCAAAGGAGTGAATCTTATTTGCACTTTATGAACACTTTCTGATTTAAAAGGAGGATGGCAAAAAACAAAACAAAAAAAATTGCTGACAGATATCACAGAGAGGCATCACTTGAAGCCTTAACAGCAGGAAGCAGAAATTTGTGTCATCTGAACAATGTCCAGATGTTGCTAATCCAGGGCTGTTGGGGTCTCTAGAGAATTACCACAACCTAATGACATTATTACCTCTGAAAAGGGCTGCTGTCATAGTGATCAATTTGTAAGTGTCTCATAGGTGGACACACTTTTTTCCTGGTCCTTCAACCTGGACGTTCTGCCCCATTTTGCTAAAAGTAATGAATTCTGATGGAAGATGTAGCATCATTTATTCTCTATTTCCACTTCTTACTTGGAGTACCTAGTTACCCAGAGAACTAAAACTTGATATGGATGGTTTTGGTTGCTTTGTTGGAATGGAAGTCAAATTTAAATAAAAAGATAAAAATCTGTCTGGTAACATAGTGTCAGCCTCTGGTAACAGTGTGGAAAGAGCTAGACCTACTGATAAACAATAAATGTGCATGTAAATCCTTGGAGGGAAGATGGAGTTGAAAGTGTGGGCTTGCCTGGTTTTTTTCAGTATTCCTTTCTAATGAGCTCACCCTACTTTAACAAAATTAAAAAGGGTGCTGTATTTTTTAAAGGAAATGTGAATAAAACAACAAAAAAACCCCAAAGCTTTTGATTCTTTCATGTTGTCTGTTCCTGCCAGCCTTTCTTCAGCTCACTTGACCCTTGGTTGGTAGTGTGCCAGAACTATAGAATTTGCTAGAACTGTGGAAGGTTGTCTTGCTACAGTAAACATATTTCACAGCCTCAAGAACTCTACTGAATGCCTATTTTATAAACATTTTCAATTCTACTTTCATATTTTGAAAGACCCTTTAATTTCTTGCTTGAAAAATCTCACAAACATTAGAGAGCCAAAAATAATTTCTTTTGTCCTACACAGATGCATGAACTTTTTCCTTCTATGGTTTTGGAAAAATTCCAGATAAAATTTGTCATTTATTCTCACACAGTCTCTATTTTGTTTTATTGTAATACTTCTCGCCTCCTAACTTACTATGTAATTTACTTATTTATTATGTTTTGTATCTTTCCTCTAGAGTTTAAGCACAATGAAGACAGGGAGTTTGTATATGTTTTTAATCAATGCAATATATTCCTAGCACATAAAATAGTGTCTGGCAAATAGTAAGGGCTCAGTAAACATTTGCTGAATAAACTGAATCTCTTCTGTTAGCATTGCAATGGTTTGATTCATTTTTGCTGTCTTTGGCAGGAAGGGCTTAGTAGAATTTTTATGCACGTATTTCTATAATTTTTGTTTTATTTATTTATTTATTTTGGGGATTGAGCCCAGGGTCTCGTATATGCTAGGCAAGTGCTCTTCCTCTTAGCTTCACCAGTGGGCAAAATTTTCCAGTAAACTTTTTTTTTGGCAGTGCTGGGGTTTGAACCTAGGGCTTTGTGCATGCTGAGCAATCACTGTACCACTGAGCTACATCCCCAGCCTGTATCATTTAGGATGAGCATTTTAGAAAGCTTTGATCACAGGGCCACTTTGTAGTTGTTTCCATGTGAGTAGGTCATTCACTGGAGTTTAGTAGTAGTATAATAAATAGTAGGAGTAACGGAAGGGTAGTTTCAGATAAGATGGAGCACATTCCTCCTTTGGAACAATTAAATGAGAAAGGAAGGAAAGAGAATTGCTTAGGAATTTTATATTCTAGAAAATTGTAACCACATCTTCATAATTACTAATGTCATGAGAATGAAAGTGAAAATATTCTGAAGGAATAGTATGTCCAATAGTATGTCTTATATTTTTTGTCTTTTATTTTGGTCAATAGTTTTACTTGCCAAAAGATCTGACCCCTTAGGCTTTGCTTATTCTTTCCAGACAAAGGTCCTCTCAACAAATAGACTATACCATAATCCATTTTTCATGCACACTGATTTTTCATGGCTGAGTTTGAGTCTTATAAGATGAACCTGGAAAGCAGAACTTTCTACTCAGGGTCTGCTTTTTGTTCTTCTCTTTGACAGCCTAGTTAGGGGAGGATGTAATCCTCCTAAAGAAACATTATTTGGCAAATAATCAAATCAATTTCATTTATATTCCTGGCAATGAAATGTTAAGAGCCTACCTCACTGTTACATCATCTGTATAACTCAGAGTCCTTGGTAAGAGATTAAATTTTGAACTGAAGATCCAATTTCATTGAAATAAAAAGTCTTAACCTAAGTGCATTAAAAAAAATCTTTTATAGCACAGTTAATACCAAATACTTTTGGGGCCATCTGAATCATGAATTATCCATTCAGACATGATTGTGTTTTTCTTCTTTAAATAATTCAGGTTTTTTAGAGCTAGATCATCCTATTTCTTTTGGTCCCTCAGTCTTAAGAGTTCCTGTCTTGTTTTAGAACACAGTGATGGGAAATGCCATCCTGGGTTGGTTGGTTGTATCAGACAGGACTTGACATGTCAGGTATATTTACAGTTGATCAACTCTGAGAAGAAGCACGAGATATGTCCTTACTAAAATTATGATCAATAAAAATAGTACATTGGCTTAGATTCTGTCTTAAATCTTGAATGGCATGAAAAAAAATACTGGTTCGTGAGATGACTGGAGACTTACCAGAACAGAGTGAAAATAAGCAGTTGTTTTTGAGATGAAGCGCTCTATACTTAAACTCAATGGGTTAATGCATTGGCTTATTTTAAAACCACAGTCTACATAATCTGCTGCCCATCCAAATGTGATTTTCGGTATTGCTTTTCACTGTGTATAGAGTAGGTCCTTTGAGAGGCTGGGTTTCCCATGGTTCACCTCCTTTACATTTGCAATGCCAAGATCAGAGGTGAAAGAGTCACAGTACAGAAGCTGAGCACAATGGGTAAGTTGACTCGGTACTGAGAGGACACCTATGTGCTGGGGCTTGTGCTACGTGCTCTCCCATGTTTATTCTTTGTACCACTGTGAGACTGCTCTTCCTCTTTCACAGCTGAGGAAATGGACTTGAACGGTTAGGTGGCTGGTCCAAGATTACGCAGTGGTGGACAGCGCACCAGGATTTGACTCAAGACTTCCAGCTCCTTGGTATTTGTTGTCTCTGGTATCTCCTTCCTGCATAACAGATGCCAAACAAAAGAACAGGAATGAGTGGAGTGAGGAATTGAGTGGAATAAGAGTGAGCGGAGTTGGAAGAGGCAGAGCAGTAAGTGCTGGCTACTTGACATGTTTTACAAAATGATGTGGTTGTTAACAAGGGTGCCAGCCCCAACCTCTTAAGGGAGGATCAGTTACTCAATAGAAACCACATAAGCTGAAACACCAGCTTCATGTTGAATTCTCTGTTGACTTTGAAGCGGGATCTTCTCTGCATGCCTCATAGGATTGTGGAGTAAGTTTGGGTTGACATCCAACATTGGCCTGTTGGGCCAATGAGGTGGCTGTGAGCTGTTTGGAGGCTGAGCCCTCACCTTTCTATCAGAGTTAGGTAGCGTGGGCCATTGGGAATAGATTTCCAGGATGCAGTTTGGACACCTCCCATCAGGCACTTTTAGACAATGTGCAAGCTGCTGCCCAAATGTTACTGTGTCAAATAAACTGTGCTAAGAAGAAGGGAATTATTTCCTTTTCTTTTTGGTACACTTAACTTCCCACGCTGGGCTTGAGGCAGGGCTGCTGCTGTTCCTGACAGTGAGTGGAGTACTTTTATCAGCTCTCCATGACATTGAGTAGAGACTTAAAAACATATTTAATTCTCACAGGCACTGGTGCTATGTGTACCTAATCTTTCTTTCCATTCTATCTTCCCTTCCCTCCCCCTTCTCCTCTCCTTTCGTTTCTTCTTCCCTTTCCTTTCTTTCCCATTTTAGACAGGTTCTTGCTATGTAGCGCAAGCTGGCCTTGAACCTGAGACTCTCCTGCCTCAGTCACTGGAGTGCTAGGATAACAGGTATGTGCCACCCTGCCCAGCTGGCTCTACCTAATCTTTTTAATGGGGCTTATAGAAGGATGCCATCTTAATTTCTTTAAAATACTTAGCTCTTTGGTTTACTTAAATAGTATGAGAGACTATGAGCATTGAAATAGGTGTATGTAGAAGTGAAAAGCTGATTTGGGATTAAGGAGTGGGAGGGACATTTGTCATTTGAGGATTTATGGGAAAATGGGATTTATGAGAGAACGGGGTCTAGGAGCAGTGTTCAGGTACTCAAGAGAGTTTTGGGGTAGCTCAAGTTCACAACCTTGAGAACTTCACAGTCTTGTGAACTTGAGTGTTTGGGAGCTGTTCCTAGCAAGCCACTTCCCTTCAGAGGTGGTGCTGATGAGGCAACAGGAGCAAGCACCTGGGGAAGACCTGTAGACTCACCAACTATCTGGATTTGGAAAATTTATTGGGAATCAGGTTACCTGCCATAAAATGCCAGGAAGTAGGACTTTCCCAAGAACTTTTTCCATAGACATTTTGATAAGGTAATAGGTGCACATGGAGAAAAACACACAAGTCTGAAAAGGCTTAGCGTAAAAAAATAACTGTCTCTTTTCCCCAGAAACAGGCACTGCTAGCTTCCTACATATGCCTCCAGGCATTTCTGCCTCCCCTAGTTCTTAATTCTGGGCAGCTGTCCAGTCTATGGAGCTGCGGATCGTGGAGAGTCAGCACCTTTGAAAAGTCCTCCTCCAGCACGCCTGGCACGTTTGCTTGGTCATTTCCTCCTATTTTTATGCTTATTCATCCCGCGGCCTATGTTCTTGACATGCCTATTTTTTTCTTCCACCCTCCTGTGGGGAGAGATAACATTCTCAGGACTTAATTCTCATCTGATAAGTTTTATTTTTAACCAACCCCTACATCCTTTTCTTCTGGCTTCTTATTTTCAAAGGCCCACACACTTCACAGCCTGCTCTGGCTTTCTCAGAAGGGATCAGCGGAATGTCTGGTTACACTCCCTTGTACCAGGCTTTTGTTTCCACTTGGGGAGCAGCTAATCAGGGTGCTGGGAACCCCAGTTGACTTTCAAAGCCAGAGAAACTTTCTCCTGTGAACATGGTATGCCATTCACTCTCACCTCCTGCTTCCCCCCTGGGCTGTCTAAAATTTCCTTTTGTCAGTAAATTTATGTTATCTTGATGAAGGACACCCTCTTGAAAAAAACAAGACAGCTGTGACTTGCAACGATTATTAGCACGGTGCTGTCTGGTGCTGTCTCTCAGCAGCAGTGACCTGTAGCCACTAAGACTTCCACAGTGTGACAACCATGCTGGGAGGTTAACGTGATGTTTCACTGAGATTTAATCAAAGTAGCCAGTGGTTCACTTAAATGAAGGGAAAGGGTTTTGTGATTTGTTCTGGTGTCATATGACTCTGACCATGGCTTTCCCAGACAAGTAGGTTGGGAATAAACTTATCTCAGCTACTTAAGTATATATACATTCTTTTTCTTTTTTAGCCTTTGACCCACCACTCCCCTTCCCCGAATATGACTAAATATGGTTATGGCTGAAACTTCTCCAGTGCACACTGGAGTGGGGAGGACGTTTTTTAACCTGGAGAGGGGTTGGGGCCTGCAGCGACTGGCGGCGTTCCCCAGAGAGGGGTGTGTATGGGAATGTTGCTGCTCGGGATTTGAACTTCACGGCCTCCAACTTCATTTTGTTCTCAATGGACCTGTTATCTCGCACGTCTCACTTGGCTCTGTCGTGCCTCATGGATGTGGTCATGTAT